TATATATATATATATATTGAAATTTGGTGTTTGCTTTGGTTCTTGTTCAAATGGTGCCAAGAATGCAGAGGTTAGTCCCTGCTAGTAAAGAGCACTTGAAAGTGATTAATTTTTGACTTGCTTTTGGGGGGAAGATTAACTTATTATTTCAAACAACTTAGTATTATAGGTTTGTAATAATTTGTTTGCCTTTCTCTCTCTTTGTTCCCCCTCCCCAGGATTTTCAGAGGCAAACTACTGGCACTTACGTTTCCGCTGGTCAGGGGATGCCCCATCAGATCTTCTGAGGAAATTCAGAAACTATGAAATCTAAAATGCAAAATACACAGGAGTGTGAGGTCGTCTATTCAACAATTCAGTATTTTTTGCAGCAGTTTGAAGTTATTTGTATTTTGTATTCATTCATTGTGCTTTGAATGTTGTCTGAATAAATGTAACGTCTGTATCTGTTAACACACATTCTATGAGTATTACAGGCAGAGGTCTGTTTTAATAAGGTTCAGTAAGCAGAGCCCTTTTCAGTATTAATGTAGAGTGATTTGGTGTAGCTATCTAATTTTTTGTATGTTGTTTCTTGTGTTTTTAAATACTGTGTAGTAATAGTAATTGTATTCTCAGCAGAACCAAAAGTCAATGCTAGATTCCAAGATATTACTATATTAAATGACAATCTACCAAAAGCTGTATGACAATGAATTTAAAACTGCTTGGTTCTGAACTATGTACTTTGGTTCTCTATTGCATTGTACTTACTGCAGTGATTTGTAATGCATGCATTCACAATACTATTACAAGCCTAACTTGTTGGACAGTTGTAATTTTGCAATATAAATAAAGTAAGAACCTTGTTATTATCCAGCAGGTGACTGTAGTGGATCAAGTACTCTCAAAAATCACTTTCATTCTATCATAATAGGTAAGCTTTTTGCACCAAATGCTTGTTTTAGAAGGCAATTCCAGAGCCTTGCTTTATTGGACAGAAACTCTTCTTGTTAAGATTTGGTGGTGGAAATCTGATACCTCTAGTATGTATGCCAGCATTGTCCTAGTGTAATAGTTACTTTCTTCCCTTGGGCGGCCTCACAAACAGCATACAAAATCCTGATATGACCCTAAGTATGAAGAATCAGGCCAGCCTGCATTAATATGTTTAAAATCTTATGTGATAAGTTTTTGAAATGTTGAGTGACTTCTCAAATTCTGTGTGTGTATTTTGCATTTGCTTCCTTTTTTTTGTAATCCTGACTGATACATCAGCTAATTGACATTGTGTTTTTTGTGTGGGCAAGTGATTCTGACAGCAACAAATAAAACTACATGCATACAGAAAGGATTCTCTTTTTTTTTTTTTTTTTTTTTTAAATGAAATACTCTGCTCCTCACAGATCTCTCTTGAATTTCTTATTACTTGTCCCATCAGCAGGGAAACACTTAAAGGAGTCCAGTTATGAATACTGGTAATCTCTGTGAAAATTCTGATCTAAGAATTGTGGCCTTTTCTCAACATGGAGACAACTGTATGACATCTGTTCTTCCTCAAGAAACACATTTGGCCTTGTTGTGCCAGTAATATGATGTGGTGACTGTCCTGTCATGCTCCTGTTTGGTGTTTATTCGCAACAAGCTGTAATGTCAATACCTGCCACTGCAATACAGATAATGTGTATGTACCATTAGATACATTTGTATTGTTGTTCTGATGTCAGTTTTCTTTACAGGAGCTGACACCAGTGGTAACTCCAGTAGTGCTTGCACCAACTTGTTTATGAAAGCTCAAAGTAATGGTGTTCTATTGTTACAGCTACATTGATCCTACTTTGACATCATTAGTGACAGCTATTTTTACAATGCATCATCCTGCTTATATGAAATTATTGTGTTTTTTTTCCCTTGTGTGTTTTGCTGCTGAAAACAGATGATAGTGATAATTCTTTGTAATATCTGCTAAATATTATTACATATTTACTTTTTTCTCTATGGAAAGGTATCTGCTCAAGAAAGACTTTTAATCCATTTTATCATGGAAGGACAATAAATAAGGTGAAAGGAGAGGAACGGAATAACTAGTCCATGTAAAGAATACAAAGTAATTTATTTTTCTCTCCTTTCTGAAAAGATGGAAATACAACTAACTGGCCTATTTGGGATCAGCCTTTCCTCCCCATTTCACTTGCAGAGGGTGCTTTAGTGGATGATTTGGCACCTAATCGACATGAGAGCATATAGGAGGTCTTTGAACAATAAAACTGTTTCTCATGTCATTCAAAGTGGTCTGTTTTGCCAAAACACCCTTGGATATTTGTTATAAATGAATAGTTGCAGATATCAGGAAGACTCTGAGCCCCGCATTTTGCAACATACCTGCTAGAGACCAATAATCTTATATTTTACCCTAATGAAGAAATCAGATTATTAACTGATACTCCAGTATGCTGATACAGACATTTCTTACACTTACTTGTATATTTGAAAAGTTCCAATTCCTTTGTGTTTCAAATAGAACTGAATTAACCTGCTCCTATTGTAGCAGAAATGCTAAGTCACAACTTGAACTATGATTGAGCACCTTGTGGGAAGGCAGGGCCAACCCAGGGGAGCTCAGGTGCATGCAGTGCAGCTGAATGACTGGAAGGGCTGGAGCCAGGAGCCACCCCTTCCCAACCTTCACTTAAGGGTTGGCAATGGAGGTGAAGGTATCTTGATGGAGATTCCTGCGTACCTGGGGCTTTCCAAGGGTAAGCAGCTTCTTTTCTTTATTTCTGTGACTACAGCTGTTGCATTTGAGCGTATCCTCACTTGCTGCAGACCAGGACCTTGCTACCCTGCTGTTACTGCTGTGCTTTCCATTGCGTCTTGGTGTTATGCCTAGCAAGCCCAGTAGTACTGGAAAACAGGAGGAATCTGTGCAGCTTGTTTCTGCTCTGGAGCAGTAGTGGTGGGACGTCACCTGCTGGCCAGCAAGAACAGTTAATTGGAATGACTGGGCACCCTCGTTCTCCCTCATTATTAAAAGGAAAACAGTGGGCACCTGACAAATTACTCAGTGCTTGATGAACTGGGACCTTACCCATACCCCTTCTCAAACAGAAGGTGTTTATTTTTTTTCAATTATACATCTAGTTGGGTTTTGAAGCCTGGTTGCTAGTAGCATGGGAAGATGCACTGGCCTATGTAATGTTGCTTGTGATAATGGTAATGCCTTGGCCTCTGCACTGGTAGGCACATAACCTACTTGACTAAGACTCATGCTTAGACATAAACTGATGGAGGGGTTGTATGCTGTGTCACTTTGAGCTTTGAAAAGGTGTAATTATAACAGCCAGGTGTCAGTGGCTTTTTAGTGGCCAAAGGAAGAATTTAGCTTCATTTGCCAAATGGTGACAGCTGTGAAATGCCAGCAACAGCCACAGGTGGTGTGTGATGATTAGGAGCTGTAAGCCACAAACTGGGGAGGGGGTGGCCACATGCAAGGACTGGAGGATGAGGTCCTACTTTCCTGTTTAGCTCTTCTTATGAATTGTTTGCATAGGTAAAAAAGAGCTCTGAAACTGCTGGATGTCTGGGGAATCTGACTTGGTGTGTCTTGTACTATAAAAATTAATATATTTCAAATTCCTGTATCTCCTGGATTTGTGCAATTTCTGACTATGTAAGACAGAGTATTCTAGTCCCTCTCAAACTTCTTGTTTTGCTAAGTATTTTGCTAATGTTTCCTAAGTGGCAATGTGAGAATTAAAATGTTGATGAATACAAATAATATAGGACTTAAAAAGCTCAAGTTGAGTACAGCTGGATGATAGGTAAGGTCATTTCCTGAATGGCTGTTTTATTCTTCAGAAAGGCAGAAAAAAAAAAAAAAGAAGAAAAAATACAGTTCATAAGCTATGTAATAGAAATATCCCGATGATTAAAACAGATATTGTCTACCTTTAATTTCCTGACCACAAACATTGCTATCATACACTTTAATATCCTGAAATAAGAAACCACTGTTGGGAAGGTAAGCAGCAAAGCTGTTATAAAACTGGTGAAATTACACAGCAAAAGATAAAGCAACTTGTAAGCCATCAGCTTCTGTCCCTGTCAGATGAGATGATGCTTATCGGTTAGTTTATGCTGGTTTTTTCCTGCAGCTCAGTGTATGTTCTTGTCCTGCAGCTATGAGTCACCAAGCCTCTACTTTGATGTGTGCACTGTATATGTTTGCTCTTTTACCTTTGCTATACTTGTTTCTTCCTTTCATGTTAATGAAAATAAGACTCATGATCTTTTCTGCTTGTCCCAGCTTTGAAAGGATTGTGTCTGAATAATCACAATGCTGCACAGCATGGAGACTGAGAAGCTTTATGAGTCTCAGGTCACTGGTGTATATCACAACCTGTCACAGGTGGTGGAAGTTGCAGAAAACTACTTTTTTTCTTCTCAATGTTTTGCTCTTGCTCCCTTCTTTTGGTGTGGCAGCAAATGAAAAGGATTACTTCTAAAAGAGGGGATTTGCTGTCAGTGTTCAGATAATTTTTATTCTTGATGTGCAGTATAGCTTTCAGCATGTTTGATAAAAAGATTTGCATGCTGCTTTGTCAAAGCTGCTTCTCTGAACCTATCTAAGGACTTTGCACCAAAAGGCTGCAGTACTTCTAAGGAGATGTAGTTTGACTCAGATTTCAGCCCCTACAGAAACTAGACTTATCAGGACTATCAGAGCTGGTGCTTTTCTAGCAATTGATTTCTATGGTGCCTCCAGATTTCTGCTTGGTATCTGACTGCCAGCTCTCCTCCTTTCTGATCTAACAACAATGTGCGAATGATACACAGGGGAAGGGGAGCTGGATCATGCGTGGTAAAGTGCAGAGGAGAAATAGATTGTTCCAGCTGCTTGCACTTTGGTGAGTTTGGTACTCTGCTACCTGTACTCACTTCCGACATATCTGAGTCTTTTCCTGGGCTCCTGTGACTATGCTTGACCTATTACTTCCAAAGGACAAAATTCCTTGCTTCAGGATGGATAGCTCATGACAAAAAGGAGCTTGGATATCGTAAGCATTCCTCTGCTAGATGTACCCTGAGCCAGGTTTGAGGCAGAAAATTGTGCAGAGTTGTAGACACATAGAACAGCATGTTGCTATGCTCATGTGTAGCTTTTGAGGCCTGGACTCCAGCACTGGATTCAGTTCTGCTTTTTCTCACTCTCTTATTGTTGAGTTTTGAAAAGGGAAACAAAGGAGAGACGGGAACCCAAGATTCTAGTGCTGCTGATACGCGTATAGCCTTAGTAGTCTGTTTGACAGTCCTCAATTTCTTTCTTCTGTAATTACTGAAAACAACCATACCCTTACAAAAAGTAACTGCAACTGAAACCATATGGCTCTTCCCCTACGGGGTCTTGATGGGAACAATTTCATAAGTCTCAGTGAAGAGTGTGGGTGTGAAATAACTTGAGTGTTTGCTCCTGCTTGTTGATTTTTTTTTTCAACTGCGAAATTTAGGGAAAATCAGTTTCAAGCAGGAGATTTGCACTGCTTTTCTGACACACTGACTTCTTATTTTGCCATTTAAAATTTAAGATAACCCTTTGTTTTGGCATTTGATGCTTCTATCACAAGCGAAGTTCCAGTGGAATGACGTAGTGAAGATGAGATCTTTCTGATAAGTAATTATTGGGTTGGTGCTTTGTCTTTAGATCTATAAAACAATAAAATATGCATTTTGGAAATGAGATTTTTAAAGTAGTCACTAAAAAAAGTCTGGGAAAAATTTCAGAGTTGTAGTGGAGAAGAAAACAGCCCACCCAATGTGTTTCACTTCTTGACTCCTTTTAAAGCTTTTTATTATTTTGTAATGTTACCCAAAACATCATTACACAAAACAGAGCTTCTCACATCTGTTCCAGATTAGCAGGATGTGTGATCTTCAAGTTAAAAAACACCAACAAAAGAGAGTTTACATCCTTGAAGAATTAAACAAAATCAGCTCTTCTAAATGAAAAGGAATTTTTGTGTTTCTTCTTTGTTATTTGAAACTCACTATTAAAATTGTATGTGCACATGAGCAGAAAGCTATAAATGATAAGAAGAGATGACACTGTATTTATTCCCTTGCACTGGAAATGTGGGAGCAATCAGCCCAGCTTCCTTCATGAAAAAAGGAAGTGCGATGAAGGAAATACATTCGGTATAGAGCAGTTTGCTGCTGGGAAATGCTTACTTATTTTTGTCAGCTGTAGGACACGGTGCAGGAGAACAACCCCAGCTCTGCACTAGGGCACTGCCTCTTCTGGCCACAGAGGACCACGCTGTGATGAGCCGTGGGGGGAGAGCTCAGTGCCCCCCCTCC